TGTGGGAGGTCTGCTTTGCTTTATCAGCATCAGGGGATGGCTCTGGTTTGTGGTTGTGTTGTAAAAACAAAACAGAAAACACCCCCCTTTGTATGTATTTCATAGGGTAGGTCCCAGGCCCATAGTTTTACACAGCTTGCTGGGACACAGAGGGGAAGATGCTCCCGAGAGAAGGGTTTTCCCTGCACAGAGGCCTCCTTTTCTAGGATTGAATTCAGGAACTGGGAAGAGGATAGAGATCTGCCCTCTCCAGGAAGAACTAGCAGATAGCATCTCATCCATGTGTTACCTGTTACTTATTTTTTTATGTGTTACCAAAGTCCCATAGGGCAGGGAAAACCCTATTTCACAGAGAAGTAAACTGAGGTAGAGGTTTAGAAAACATTCCAAGTCTTCCAGGCCTAGACAAACACTTAGGCAAGCTGTACTGATTGATGATCCCAAGGTCAAACAAACCCCTTCTTATCCCCAAGTTCATGTTCCCCTGACCGTGGACTTGGCAGTACGGCAATGTCCAGACACATGTTGAGACTCACTCAGATTCCCCCCCCCCTCGCCCCAGGACCTTTGGAAGGGGCCATCAGACCAGAGAAAGGGAGGAGGATAGGGAAACACAACTTTAATGTGTTCTCTAAGAACCAGAGCGGCTGATCTGGGCAGAAGAGAGATGTCGCAGAGGTATGGCCGTGGCCGTTCTCCACTGGAGAGAGGGGCAGGCTGCATACACTCTACACCACCACTGTATCTCTAGCAGCCCGTTGCCAGGCAGGGGGACTCTGCACAGCCGAGGACTACACAGAGGCAGGCTGGGAGGGACAGGAGTGGGGAAGACTTTGTTTAGGGTATAAAATTTACAAGGCTCCCAAAGAAGCCAAGAATCAGCAGAAACGAGCCCTCGAGGCAACATCTTTTCTATCGTGTTTTCTTCTTACAGTTTTGAGATTATAATTATTCGTTTGCGCATGCACGCCTGTGTGCACACGTGCCTGCCATGGCATGAATGTGAAGGTCAGAAGACCATTGTCACAAATCGGTCCTCTCCTGCCACCATGTGGGTTTCTGGGATTGGACTCAGGCTGTCAGGCTTGGTGGCAAGGGCTTTTATCTGTTGAGCCATCTTAGCCCAGAAATATCTCCTCTAAAAAGCTAACTTAATGTTCAAAATTCATAAGGGTGAAAACATCAAACTTTTAAATAAGTGGTGGGATCCATAACCTCATGGTACAGCCCGTTGTGGGGTCCCGGGCAATGGGGATGTTCACTGACGTCATTCTCTCTTGATTGTGCTCAGGCTGGTGCAGCTGTCTCTCTCCTTGTTTTGCTATTTTAAAGAAGTTATCAAGTCATGGCAAGTCTTAGCGACGGTGCTTTTCGTGTCCTCTTGAGTTCTGCACCTAAGCCAAGTCCCTCAGCTACCTCATCCTGCTCCTGGCCTACTCCCAGACCCTCCACTAGCAGCAAGGTCACTGGCACCCCACACAGGACAGCAGAAGTGGAAGGGGAAGTGGGAGCCACAGGGCGGGACAAGCTTCTACCAGCAACGTGAGGGACAGCTATTTTGGAAAATGAGAATTAACTTCTGCCGTTCAGTTGTAAATTTTCAAAACACCAGCGCTCGAGTGCTATCTTTCAGTATGACCTAATTTTAAAAAAAGAAGAAGAAGAAGAGGAGGAGAAAAACACACTTGGCAGCAATAAGAAGGGAAGCAAGACAAAGGGGAGGGTACGATGCTGAAAAGTAAGTGAAGGGTGGTTCCTTGCCCCAGCGCCTCCCCCTGTCCCCCCCAGGCATCTCTGTGTGAAAAGCCAGGTCATCATCACTGTCCACACCACCTCTGGAAACAGCCACACTGCACTGCCTGAACACCTCCTCCTCTAGGCTCACGCGTGTGCTACCCCAGAGTCTCCATCCCCAGGTGCTGGTGGCTGGCGGTGGGAGTAACCCGGAGCAGAACAACCGATGTGACACCGCTGGGACAGAGACAGGCCCAGGCGGCCATCCCTGGACACCCACGCTTGCTCAGGACCAACATTCAGCTCCCAGCCCTGCACGCAGGGTGAAGACTTGAGCAAAAACACATCAAAACAGCAACAGTGTGGAAGCCTTGTATCCAAGACAATGCATCGTGCCTAATTTAGCTCATAGACATTAAAAAAGATGAACAACTTGGGCCTGGGTGATGGCTGAGAGATTGAGAGAGCACTTTCTCTTGTAGAAGACCTGGGTTCTGTTCTCAGAGCTGACTTGGTGGCTCACAACCACCTGGAACTCTAGTTCTAGGGGACCTAATGGCCTTTTCTGGCACTGTATGCATGGGGCACAAATAGACATAAAATAAAAACTTTAAAAAAGGGAAATGGGCAGCTTTAGGGAGGAAATGGGCAACTTTCAGGGTGGGGTGACCCATCTGCACTGTGTCTTGAGAGTTTGAGAATGACTATGAGACTGTATGTGGGCAAGGGCATGGATGTCTCAGGGAGCCACTTCTCCCCAAAGGCTGTGGGAGGGATTCCTCACAAGTGACAGAGACACACACACACTGAACATGAGTTAGTGTCCCCTGCAGACAGTCTCCACAACTACTGAACTGTGCCGTGACGATGGCTCAAAGGGACAACTGCTGATCTGATCAGAAGCTCAACCTCCTGGGGACCGTGACAAGAGGCTTGGTGGGAGGCTCTCCGCAGCCTTCAGCATGAAACTGCCACCTGCGCTAGGCAGCAAATGGCAGAATCGTTATCACAACCGGTGATACACACGGTACCCAATAGCTGAGCTGGCTGCAACCCTCAGGAGCATCAGATGCAACCATCTCACTTCACAAGGAGCAGTGAGCACCAATGAAGGGAATAGCACTAGGGACCAGGCTCTCCAGACCCCACTTGTGAGCAGCTTTGCAATCGGAGTCCCGAGAATGACTGGTTCTGACCGTCCTGCTGCTCCTCCTGCTGGCCGAGACCTGGAGCACTCACATTGAACTCCTCACGGAAGCGTTTGCAGTCATCTGCTGATCGCACGCGGATCTCCTCCTCCAGGTGCTCCACCGGGATGGGGAAGTACTTCTTGGGACCCGACGGAGACCTGCTCAGCAGCATCACTCTCTGCTGCTCTGTAGGGTCAGGAGAAACAGAGAAGCCACTTAGATCCATTGCCCATGGGTGACTCAGTCCTTGGACGGTCTGACAGCATTCCTCATGGATCTGTAAAGTGGGAGGTGAGCAGCACTCTCAAATCACGCACCCTGGGGCTAACTCAGCCCTGAGCCACTAAATCAAACATCTGCTTCCCAACACACCCTCTATTCAGCAAGTGATGGCAACATTCCTGTCCATCACAGACACTGCATTCTTGGTCTTGCTCACTAGCTCACCTGCCACTCATCCTTCCTGCTAGCCTATGCACCTACACAAGGGTTACTGCAGCTTCACATGGCAGGGTCCAGGTTTGGAGCCAGAGAAGAGGAATCACAGGGCTCTAGATATAAACTCAGAATGGACGGGAATCTGCCAGGATCTCCGTCTTGCAGCCTCCTCTTCTTGGGAACACATAGGACTGCTTCCCCAAATCCCATACCTTGCAATGCAGAGAAACTAACCATCCTTGAGGCAGGGAGAGGAGGTTATTGCAAAGGAGACTGGGCTGTGGACTGAGGGGCTTCAACAAGTCACTCACACAAGCTCAGAATGAGGTGCGAGCAGTGTCAGGGATTGGTGTTTCTCTTCACAGGTTTCTCTTCACAGCTGACATTGATAAGGTCAGTAGAATAAGTCTTCTCTCACCCTTGCAAAAGGCCCTGTCCCATCTGCAGAGTTCACCGAGTCTATGCCACAGACGTGGCTCCAAGGCAGCCTCTGGCTTCAGCCAGACAAGCTGGTAGAAGCCTGTGGGCTTCTGTTCCCCTCCCAGCCCCATCTTCCTGTTCACTGGCTTCTGGGATGCACAGAGAACTGAAAAGAGCAGGCTGGAGAACAGAGGTGCCCTGGCACCATGTGATGGTCTATTGAGGCGTGCAGGTCCCCCCAAGCCCTGCAAGGCGACAGCTCAGTGGAGTTCTCTGTTTTTTTTTTACACTCTCCCAAGCTCTGGGGGTTGCATTAGCCCCTTTACTACTTTGAGTGAGTTCAAAAGTTTCACTTGAGTTCTGATGACAGCCACGTTACCTCAAGGCAGGCACAGCTATGTAGGAAGTTACGGCAAAGCTGAGGCCACCAGTAGAAAGCAGTGTTTTGAGCTTTTAGTTGTCACACTGGGGGGTTGTACCAGGGACTTCGCATATGCTGGGCAAGTGCTGCGCCACTGATAATGTATCCCCGGATTCCTCGGCTGTTTGAAGTGAGGCCTTGTTATGTAGCTCAGGCTGGCCTTGAACCTGTGATGCTTCTGCCTGAGCAGGTGCCTCCAAACGCTTAGATTACAAGTCGGTGCCACCCCACTCAGCTAGAACCTGTGTGTTTAAAACCTTTTCTTTGTCTGCCATTGGGACACAGAAAGAAAAATAAGCTTTTGTAGGCAGCATTTACAAGTTAGGACACAACCAGAATCTAAGCCAGGCATGTCTCCTAACGGACGCTCCTTCAGAAAAGAGTAGCTTTTGGCCTGAGCAGTGTCCTTTCCAGCTTAATTCTGAGGCACCACAGTGTCAACTGAACACTTCTCGTTACAAGTAGGAGCCTTATCATAGGTTGACTTCAAAGGCCTCGATGTGAAATGTTAGGTGGCAAAGCCCTGCTAACCTGACAGGATATGAATGGTCTCTTTAAGAAAAAAAAAAAAACCCACAAACTGAAATGTCTCAGACATCCGCTCTTCTGTGTAGGAAAAATGACCTCTGACACCAAGTTCCAAAATATAGAGAAATTCTACGTTACTAGGAAGCAGTAGCACGAACTGAGGCGGAGTTGGAGAGAGGGGAAGGGCTTAAGTGACAGCTGGACAGGGCTGGGAACGCCTGTCCCTTTCCATGACAGCCCGGAGACCCCGTGTACAATACCTTGCTCTTCTAGGATCCCGTTAGGCATCTTCTTGTCGTTGCTGCTGACCACGGCTTTCCTCTGCTTCCTGAACCTTAGAGGCAGAAGATGTGTTAGGTCTCGGTCCAGGAGGAACCCCCAAGCCCTGAGTGTGGCGATACCCACCAGGTGAGCCGGGAAAAGCTCTTTCGGCTGCTCATGGCTGAGCCTTGTGCAGCTCAGGCCGGCCAGCTGGTGTCTGAGCTGTTTGGGCCCACACCCCCAGCCTCCAGCACACTCATTTCCTCATAGGAGCTGGTTAGGGCACGTCAGCGCCTGGGGACACTCCTACCTGAAGAAGTAGGCTGCGAGGAGGAGCAAGAGGAGGAGCAGAGGCAGCAGCAGCCAGGTGAGCAGTGGCTGGGAGGTACCAGGGTCTGGAGGACCTGTGGGTGGGCAGACGGTAGAGGGCAGAGCCCCCATCAGGATCCCTGGTCGGGATGAGGGAGGAGTCCCATAGCACACCACATGGTACAGTTTGCAAGTGATCTCCCATCAGTTTCTTGCAACAGAGGACTAAGATGGCGTGTCTTGTCTGAGGCCCCTGATCGCCAATGTATGCTGCTAATCAGCTATTTCTCTGAGCACCTCTGACCTAGCTCCTCTCCACAATGAGGAGGTAGAGGAAGCTGGAGACCCCTCAGGGAACAGCTGCTGTGTCTCAGCCCAGTTGGGGAAGAAAAACCAGGCATAAAGGAACAGGCTGGCCCCAAGGTTGGGTACAGTTCTTGAGGAACAAATACATTGTGGGCTGGCTTTTCAGGGCTGTGACCTCTCTGTCACAATGTCGGGAGTGCAGAGACCTCTGGCCTTCGCGAAGCACCCTTGCTTGTCCATCCTGTGCACCCACCACTCTCTGAGTGTCCCTGTCCCTTGGCTCTGGTGACCTTCTGGTCATCAACTTATCCACCCTCTCAGCCTGTTAGGGTGCTCTCTAATCTCTACAATGTTCCCACCCAAAGGGGTCCATCAAAAGCCTGCTACTCCAGTTAACCAGCTTGGCTTCTCTCTTGAACTGGCCCAGAGGGCGATGTACTGGAGTTGAGGACCAAAAGCTGTCAGGAGTGAGCCTGCCCCTAATGGGAGGGCCCTGGAGAGCAGTACCTAGATTTCCATCCTCTTGAGTTCCAGAGTGCCAAATATTGTTCCCAAGCTGAGTGTGTGTTGGGGGTTCATGTCCTTCCTCCCATGGGCCAGCCTAAGTCCCTTGAAACTCAGGGATCCACGAAGGAGTTTCAAATCTGGTCTTTGTCTTCCCACCTCTGTGCATCCAGAGGCTGTGACCCACAGCACACCTGTGGCTCTGTCCCAGAGGTTTGTATTAGGTTTAACAGGTAAGAATATCTGTCCCTTCCTTCCAGCCTAAACCTGCCCATTGGAGCAGCATGACCCAAAACTTCCTGTCTGTGACTCAGGAATGCTATACCCTGGGCTAGGTAGGACTTGGAGCAAATTCTAGCATGGGCCGCTGAGAGCTGCCTGGAACTGAAGGGCAGGGCTGAGCCAGTGCCGGGGAGTTGCATTGCTCAGGGTACCCTGATTCAACTCTATCCATTTTTGGCCAAAGGCCAGTCGAAGGCGTGGGAAGCCTCCTTCTTCTTTTCCAGGAATGCTCACTATCTTTTCTCAGTGTGTCACCACAGTGAAACTACCCACTTCTGCATTGCCGAGAGATCAGCCTCTGGCTCAGCATCTGCTCTGCATGAGCAGTCGCTAAACTGGTCAGCCACAAGGTCCACTCTGTCACAGTAAGAGTGGCCTCTGGGCCCCACCAGTTCTCCCCTGGGTCTTGTCAAAGACTTGATGGGCCAGCCTCCATGGCCATGTTCTTGGAGGGCAGGCTGTGGTAACAGATGTGGGGATTCCACAAGGCCTGGATCAGATGTCCCATGCTGTAGATGGGTTGTCACACAGGCAGAACAAGTGACTCAGGGGGACCGCTCTCCCTCAAATTGATTTCTGTGACTTCGAATGAGGTTTGTCCAGGAAGGCAGAAGTCAGGACCAGAACTCCCTAGGCTTTCCAAGGGCAGTAGGAACATCCAAAGCAGACTGGTTGGTGGGGAACATGGGAATCCATGTGGGGCTTGTTCTGGCTCTGGGGAGTCAGAAACTATGGGAAGATAGGTCCAGACTACTTACTTCAGACATTGCAAACTTTATGTAAAAGCTTTTGAAGTTGTCGATTTGGGTAAGTAATTAGATTTAAATTGAACTTGGATAAACAGTGTGGGCCAGAAAAGAAACGCTTGTGCAACCAGGGGCAGTGTTCCCTCTGCCCCAGTGGCGTTTCCCCCAGGGAGGCATGAGGTCTCCCAGGGGACATCCTATGGTCACATGCTGCTTCTAGTTCACAGCGACTCTGGGTCTTTCTAGATAGCTCAGCCTTATTCCCTAAAACGATGTCAGGTTTCCCAACTGTATGTGAGCGGGTACATGTGTGTTCACGTACATTTGAGGCAGAGGCACCCCTGCATGTATGTGTTCACACATTTGCTTACACAGAATCCGGTTCTGACACTGGAAAGACAATGGTTTGCTGGTGAGGTATGGCCTGGATCTTTTTCCTCTGTGGGGGACACAGATTCCCCCAGTGACTAATCTGCTGTTGAGAGGGACCATGCAGAGGGGCATGGGCCAACCAGGCCGGGGGGGGGGTGGTGGTGGTGGCGGGAGGTTATCAGTTCTTTCCAAACCATGTGGAGCGCTGCACCAATTTGCAACAGATAGTGCTCCTCCAATGAAGGGGTGTTCTGTATACCTAAGGGGTCCCCAGAGGGGAGGAGGGAAGGAAAGACAGGGAGCACGGCGAGGAGCTGTGGTCTGGGAAGAGAAAACACAGCCCCTGAAAGATTGAACTGCAGAACTTTCTGGGTTCTAGTCCATAAAGCTTCGTGGGCCAGAGGCCCATGAATGTTTATGTGATAAACATCCAAGTAACGCAGACAAAGTGACCATACATAGGCCAACTGCTTTGTTTCCTTGACATGACGTTGGGAGTGCATCTTCCTGTATATTTTCTCCTACGAGGCTGTGTTCATAGACATGCAGGTTTGGTAAATAAATAGATTCACTCCTCCATCCAGTCATCCAAGACCGCATGGGTGGCAGGAAGTACTATTGTTTTATGAATTGTTCAGGAAGGAAAAAAAACCCCAAACTTTAGATTATGCAGAATCGTCCCCTTGACACATCCCAACACTAACGCTATGTATGATGTGACCAGACGACACACACTCTGAACAGGTCCCCAGTTCACCTCTCCCATTGACCCCAGAGAGCTGCCGTGCTGGGTGAGCAACTTCATTCTGTGTCCCAGCTGCTTGCAGTCCTGCGCTTTGGATGGACCCAGATCACACGGGTATTTGAGACTATTTCCCACTTTGCTCTTCCCTGCACTTCTGCTACTTCTATCCTTAAAAAGGGAGATTCATTTCCAGTACAATAAGTGTTTATGTGTATGCATATGTGTCTGTCTTGGTGTGTTTGTTCCATGTGTGTGCAAGTGCTTGTGTAGTCCAGAAGAAGGTGTCTGATCTCTTGGAACTGAGGTTTCAGTCAGTTGTGAAGGGCTGTGTGGTGCCAGGAACCCAACCTGAGTCCTCCGGAAGAGCAACAAGTGCTCTCAACCACTGAGCCCTCTCTCCAGCACCTAACTTGTGCACTTTGTCTCCCCAGGATTTCTGCACGGCATCTCCTACAAGTGAACCCTTGTGTCCACTGCAGACATTATCAAACAACCATGGAAAATTTCAGATGATCTCCCAAGGCATCTGATGCCCATGCTCACTTGGGGTTTATGAGGGAGCCACTTTCTCCTGGACAGGCAAAAACACAGTAACAGTTTGACTCAGTTTTCTCTTATTTCTAGAGAGCTCGGCTCCTTTGCATGATAATTAAAATGGAATTAATTAGATACTTTGATTTTTTCCCCCCTGGTTGTATTTGACATCTCCTAATAGCTTCAGCTGTCAACTTGACAGAGCCCAGAATTATCTGGAGGACTGCCTTATTCAGATAGGCCTATGGTCATGTCAGGGGGACATTTTATCAATTACGGGTTGATGCAGGAGACCTCAGACCGCTGTAGGTAGCACCATCCCTAAGTTGGGGGTCTTGAGCTTGAGCCTGTAATGGGTGGAGCCAGTGAGGGAGCCTGTAAGTAGCGTCCTTGGTTTCTGCTTTAGTTCCTGTTTGAGCTCCTGCCCTGACTTCCCTTTGTGAAGGACCTTGATAGGGATATGTAAGCCACATTAACCCTTGCCTCCCTGGGTGCTTTTGGTCACGGTCTTTATCATGGCAATAGTAAAGCAAATCAGTGCCTCATCTCTTTTCCTACTGTGCTCCTTTACCTGTTAATTTTCAAGGGTTCTTCCTGTATGTCTTATAGATGATAACATTTCCTTACAATTTTTACATATTTATAATGAATTCTTTGTCTAAGAAAATGCATCATGATGAATATTGAATTCATCTTGGCCAATGATGAAAAGAAGCCATTTCCTGTTGTTCTGGCACATTCTAGCAATGTGCTAACCCTCAAAAGATACTTCATACTTTTTTAGGAGCCAGATCTTTTAAAAGGTACTTGGGGTGACCTCCCAAGTTCCAGGACAAAGGAGCTGCCATGTAACTTGAGGCCTTCATAGCTCCTAACAGTGCGACCACAGATGCTGCTAAGCGTGCTGAGGCCCGGAAGAGACCTAACCAGAATTTGCTTCTGTTCTGGGTGCTGAGGTCACGTGACAGTCCTCTCTTCCTGAAAGCCACACTTCCTGCCCATGACAATGTTATGAACCAATAAATCTTGCTTTCAAATGAACCGGAAAGCCCTAGACATGGACGGGAGACTCAGTACCTCCTGTGGGGTTGTCACGGACTCCGACAATTCCTACCCCTACTGTGAGGAGATGTATGTTCTGTCCCCAGGACTTTAAGATGCTCACAGGGACATACGGACAATCTTCCAGGTATCCTAAACAGCCAGCTGATTAGTGTTGGTGAGGGAAGCTAGGGGTGTGGGTTGGAAGATTTTAGTTAATGTTCGAGAAGCTCACTGTCCTTGAGGCAGGTCTGGGATGCCCAAGGCTGCAAGATACTGTTGAGAACCCGTGTGTGGAAAGCAACCTGCAGAGAGGCGTGTGTTGCAGCGTCTTTTTTTTTTTTTTTTTTTTTTTTGTGGCTGTGGGTTTCCCCTGGGGTGTCACGACAAGGAGGAAGTGGGAAGACAGTACAGCCAGCCAGGGTGCTCTCAGCCCGGTGTTTGCTTCCATGGAGCACGGCACTTCTTCCTCCCCTTAGGGCGGTCACTGTCTCTCTAGGATGTTATCTAGGGACAGGAGACCCTGTAGAGCCCTTGATGGGGTGAAGCTGGCTTACTGGGATGGCACCAGCTTCCACGGACTTTTTCTAAAGCGTGTTTCTGTAAGGATATTGACAATTTGGGTTTTCTTTAAGCCTTGCAAGGGCCAAGCAGGACGTTGAATTTCATGTGTAAACTAGATCGGGGCACGGCCGCCAAGATAGTTAGAGACAGCCCTCCGAGAGGATTTCTGGGTGGGATTAACACTAGAATCCATAGGCTGAGTAAGGCCAGTGTGGCTAGGCTTCACCCTGTCAGGAATGGAGCAAGTATTTAATAAGGGATGGGCACGAGGCAGGTGCAGAGACAGGGGTTAGCCTTTGCTATTGCAGGTTCATTCTGACTTTACCACCAGGGCACGCTGCAGGGAATCCCTGTCAACTGCTCATCCTGATTCCACCCATCTGCCCTGAGCCTAGCTCTCCCTGGGTGCAGCACAATCCATTAAAACACACACACACACACACACACACACACACACACACACACACACTCACACACAATGAAGGAGTTGCGGGATTTTAGCAGCAGCATTCCCAACTTTCAGAAACCAGTCAAATGACCGAATCTGGAGCTTGCTCCCTGTTGACCACAGCAGAAGCCAACGCTGTGGGGGTGCTGCTGTGTCCTGAAGCCTGTCCAGCCTGCTTGTCTCTGTAATGCTCACTGCACTGCCAACCAAGAGCCGGAACGGCTACCACCTGTGCCTCCTGAGCCCGAGCAGGGAGGCACAGAGGGGTTCAGTAAGGCCTTTCAGGTTACTCAGCTAACAAGTAGCAGAGAATGAGGTTGGAACCCAGGCGGTGAGAGCCAAGAAGACCCATTCTTGGTTTTTATTTCCATTTCCTCATCCTCTTCCTCACCTTGACTTTGCAAAATATTCACTAATTTAATTGAGATGAAATTGACATGTTAGAAAATGCACCTATTTTCAACGTAAGGTGAATAACTTTCCAGGGTTAGGCAGCGCTGGCTGTTGCAGTATTATTATTAGGATAATTCTTTTTCTTTTATTAGAGTATTTCTTTGTCTCCAGTAAGATCCCGCCTGTCTTCATCCTCAACGGAAGCAACTGCTCACTACTCTCCCTGCCCATGCTCTTCAGGTCCTGGAGATTTCCTCTCAATGGAATCCTGCTTAGTCTATAGCACGTGGTCCCTGTGTCTCCCTTGTGTCACTGGGAATATCCGTGAGCTTTCTCCTTGATATCACATGGACACCGGTGTGCTTTTTCCTCTTCTGTACCCTGTAAACTACAAAGCGAGGGGAGAGACTAACAAAAATACCCCATCCCTGCCTTGGACTGTATCTGTCCTAACTTTCTCATGAGGACAGGGCGGCACTGTCCATTCCAACTCCATCTCCTAGAAGCCATGAGACACCCAAGAATGCTCCTCATTCCTCTCTAAAATTAGTGACTCCCCTTTTTTTTATAAAAAAGAGAAACCTCACCACATATCAATATCACAGACTATTGTAACAATGGTTTCTTCATCACCATTATTAGACCTGTCGTGTGGCAACTTCCTCGATGTTGAAACATCTGCTCATGAAGGGGAGTCAGAAGTTCACAAAACATAAGAAAGCTCTAAGACCCACAAGGTTTTACAAGCCATAGACGAATTGCCAGGGGTGTGTTTGGGGTGGAGGGAGTCTTCAGTGGGGTTGCTTACAAGTTGCCTAGGAGACAGGCATGAGACAGGACCTGTGAGCTGTTACCCAGGCAGGAGTGGGCTTTCCAGTGAGGCAGCTGCTTCTGAGTCACGCCTGCTTCCCTGCGTAACCCCAAGCCATGTACTGGCTCACCAAAGGAGACAGGGGCGCTGTCATTTCTTGGGTCTATGGGGGGTGTCTTCTCTTGGGCAAATAGCTGTTTGTTCATATCTCCTCAGAAAAAGTTACTCAACAAACCATCAAACCAATATTTTCATTTGCCCAACCCATGGGTCAGGGTTTGATAACCGTTGGTTCCAACAGGGCTCTACAAAGCCAGACTTCTCAGAATTTATTGTTAAATCAATTAATTAATTGTGTGTGTCAATGAGTAGGCAAATATACATCAGTCACAGTGCATGTGGAGAGGTCAGAGGACAATGTTCAGGGGTCAGTTTTCTCCTTTTCCACTGTATGGGTCTCAGGGATCGAACTCAGCTTCTCAGGTCTGACAGAAGCTCTTTGTCCCCAAGTCATCTTGACGGCCCCTCTCAGGCTTTCTCACGCTCTCCTTCTTCCACCAATGCTGAGGCCCTCCTCAGCAGGTGGACAGCCTCCCTGGACACACTTAGATAGTTCTGGTCAAGGGTACGTGCTCGGCTTCCTGGTTGCCACACTGAACCCCTGTTCCCCCAGCAGTTCGGGGTGCTTGGGAGGGGGCCGTGTGAGGCAGCAACAGGGACAGCTGGGATGAGGGTAGGGCTCTTACCTGCAGTTGTGCTGGTCCAATTGCTCTCTGTTGGAGTGGTGTCGTTGCCAGCTCTGGCGAGTGACAAGCTAAAACTGGCCAGCAGGAGTGGACAGAAGGGCTCCATGGCACACCTGCAAAGAGATACGGACTTCCTTAGAGTCGTTCCAAAGTAGCCGGCCCTGGACATGGCTCTCACTCGAAAGGGAGGGGAAAGAATTAAGAGATGAACTCATTACACGTTCCAAGGGAGCCAAGAACCCTGCCTCCCAACTTCACAGTCTCTTTTGTCTTCCCACACTGTGGAGGTACAGTCACGGTCACCTGCAGGTCCGGCCAGAGTTCCCACGGCTCACAACTCCCACACTGCTAAGGGTGAACCAGCATGGAGTGTGACCAGACCTCAGCTTTGTCCACACTGCTAACCAGGAGGAATCTTAATGAGTCACCTGGCACCCCAGATATTATGTCCCCCAGTACCAACTGCTCACTACTTCCCTTCCACAGTCATTCTCTGGCCCAGTTGTATCTATGGTGGGTGTCCTATCTTGGGTAAACAGATGCCAGCGCCCTCCCACGTGCCTTTTGGGTCCTTCTCACTAGGCTGGCCAAATCCATTCCCTCCAGTCATGGCACAGGAGCTCCTGGCCAATCAGTCTGAGGCTAGCTTCAGGGTCCTTCTCTTCCCTCTTCCGTCCGGTGGCTCTGAGCTCTCCTGGTCCACTTCAACAGCCCCCTCCAGACCTTGCTTCTGACTGTACTAACCTCCTGCTCCACAGAGCCATTTACAGCCTCAGGCGGAAGCTAAATGATTACCAGGTTGGATGGATGCAGGGGACAGGCCAGTTGGCAAGAGGGTCAACACAGAGAAAGCTTTTTCATACCAGGACCCCACAAGCAGTAACCTCGGATTCACACTTTGCCCCTACTTTGCCCAACCACATTCAACCCTCATTAGAAGTGACAGTGATGGTGACTACCCCGTAGTGTAGAAAACCTTACTTGAGGACTTCTGACCAATAGAGGCAGGCAATGGCTCCGCCCAGTGCAGATATTTGTTCCCTGTCCGTGGAACCTCATCCACAGTCAGCCCAGAGGATCTGTCCCATCCTTATTGAGATCTGCTACCCAGAACCTCCATGAGGGATGTGGA